AGGTTATAAAGGTGCGTAAGTTGTTATAGTTTAATAAGACTTTAATTGTCTTTTTACTACTATTAAGGTAGTATTGCTATTACTTAAAGAAGTTTATAATTGCTAGTAGCTTTTAATCTAGGGTGCTATAATTTAGCTCTAGTCCTTATAGTTTTCTTAACTAGAAGGCAATTAAGTGCTAGGCTCTCTCTTTATCTTATTAAGAGATAATCCCGCTAATAGCTACCTTTAAGGCATTAGTCTTTACGCGTATTACTTATTCTAAGTTAAAATAGCGTAGCAAAGGTGCTTTTATAAATGCCTTCCTTAGTATTATAAAGGCTACGCGCTCTCTGCTCCTTATCTGCACCGGTCCTAGCTTTTTGCTATTTTTGCTGCCTTATAGCAGCCCTAATAAAGGAGATAAGATGTTTAAGTAAGCTTTAATAAAGCAATAATAGAAGTTATAAAATCTAAGAAAGACTTACACCTTCTTAAATGTTTGTAGCGTTAGCTATTTTATAATTACGCGTACTTTGCGCAAGTCTATTATAAACCCTTTGCTTTTAATAATAAACCTTAGGAATTTAACTTCTTATTAGTAAAATAAGCATTTGTTGCTATTAATAAATAACTAGGCTTGCTAAAGACGCTTAAAGACTTAGTTTAAGTGCTTTATATGCTCTTTCTTATTGTGTAAGAACATAAGGATATTGTTTAAGTAGACAATAGAGATTATATCTACTAGACTATACAATGCTTAGCTAATATAGTACTAAAAGGTTGCTAGGGCGTTAGTTAGCCTAAAAGGTAAGACTAGGTATTTAAAGAGACTATATCTAGTCTAAAAAGCCGTCTTCTATTCGTCTTCTTCTTTAATCCTTAGGCGGTAATACGCCTTCTTAATATCGATTTTCGATATTACCTTTATTCCTACTACGCAGTCTATAATCTTAGAGATTAAAGGTAGTAGGTATTAGTTCTTTACTATAACCTTATCTAACCCTTTATAGTTAACGCATAAGCGTAAGCTTTTATCCTTCTTAGGCACAAAAAGGATAGGTGCGCCTATAAAGCTTTTCGATAGACGAATTCGTCCTATCGCTAGGTTATCGTCTAAGTACTAGCATAGCTCTCCTAATTCTCTTTATAATAAAGGATATATTGTCTTATATAGTAGTTAACCGCTAGGTAGAAGATTAATTGCATGGTTAGTAGCCTTATATAGCAGTAAGACTTTAGCGTTAAATAAATTTAGCACGTTGCTATACTTGCGCGCTAAATGCGCAGGCAGTGCGCCTATGCCTTCTAAATAATCTTTTACTTCTAGGTTGCCCGGTAAGATTATATATACCTATGCGCGCTCTCTACGCGCTATAGCAAGGAAGATTTCTTATAGTATAAGTTGTATAGTCTTTGTGTATGCTTTAAACTACTAGCGGCAGTCTACTAGCTCTAGGTAAACTTTCTTACTTTAAAGGGTTATTATTAATAGTAATATTATTAGGCCTTAATACCTAGCAAGTTTAGTAACTTTTATATAAACTTATATAATCTTATAGGTATACCTATAAGAGTCTTTTATATATAAGGGCACCTTTTACAATCTTGCTACGCTTATAATGCTCCTATTATACGCTTTAAGGGTTAGTATTAACATCTTTATAAATTCTAGTCCTTATAGTCTTACAAATTTATAGTTAATAGTATTAAAACTTGTATAAGTATCTTACGCAGTAGATACTTTTATAGTTGTTAGTCTAAGAAGAGAAGCTTAGATAAGAAAAAGATTACTAATCTTAATTATCTCTAGTAACGCTTAAGAGTCTTAGTTTATCCTAAGCGTTTTTAGTTTTTTACCTTCTTAGCATTCTTTTTAGTTAGTTAAACTAAATTTACTAATATAGTCTCTTGCCTCTTTAAGCAGTTTTAGGCAAAGTAGCCTTTACTTTTATAAATAAAGCACTTTATACGCTTACTATTTATATAGGTAAGGTTTTTTAGTAGCCCTTAGTAGCTATAGCAGCTAGTCTACCTCTTTTTTTACCTTAGCTTTTGCCTTTAGCATTACTATAGTAGTTGCAGCGATTATTTTCTTAATTAGTATTATTTTTATAGCTGCCCTTATAGCCCTTTTAACTCTTTTACGCCCTTTTGCCGCGCGTGCTATTATTATCTTGTTTTAACTAAGCCTTTAGCTTTTTTAAGCTCTAAAACGTTATTACTTTAGCTACTAGTTCTACTCTAGTCTATAGTATCTTATTTAATTTTAAAAGATCTTTCTTTAATTCTAAGAGTAGCTTAGAGAATAATAACTATGCTTATTTCTCTTTTAATTTAATAGGTAGTTAGTTTTTAAAAAAAGCAAGGTAGTTATTAAAGTCTTAAGGGGTTTGCCTTAGTCTTTAGTAAGCCTTGCCGATTCTATTAGTAATAATAAAAGCTATGTTATAAGGATTAGCTATAAGGGTTAAGGTCTAAGCCTTAAATGCATCCTAGTCGCTTTAAGCCTTCGCTACTACTACGTCTATTATACTCTGCAAGCGCGTTTCCTATATAGTGCAGTATAACTACTTTATATATTTAAGCATATAATTAATCCAGTAACTAGCGCTCCTAAACTTATTAAAGGCTAGATAAAAGTATTGCTTCTTAGCCTATAGCTAGGTAGCGCGCTCTTAAAAGCTGCTAGGTATCTTAAAGGGCGGTTTAATGCCGCTTTTTAAGATAATATCTTAACTATAAGAGCTATCTTCGTTAGAGTCCTTACTATAGGTACGCTTACCCTTTACTTAGGTTGCTTCTATATCTAAAAGCTATTGCTATAGGTCTACTATTCGCTGCTTTAAGCGCTCCGCTTTACGCAGTCGTTTATTTTTAGCAATAAGGTCCGCTACCATCTAGTCTATAGTAGGCCTAATAGTTTGCCCTAAAGGGCCTTTGCCCGCATCGTCGTTATCTAGTTGCTTATAATCCTCCTTTAAGAGATTAAAGTCTTTGTTCTCTACTTCTTCGACGATAGGGTTAAGAGGGTTCTTAACTATTGCCCTAGAGCTGCTCTCTTCTTGCGTACTACGTGCGTGCGACGTTTGCTTTGTAGTCTTTCGAGGTGCTATTGCTCCTTCTGCCTCCTAACTCGGGTAGCCTAATGGTAAAAGAATTAGGAATTGTTAAAGGTGTACTTAGGTAGGCTAGGTAAGTTAGGCAGGCAAGGAGGTATCTTCTTAACAGGAGGAAGCAGCCGTATATTCAATAGCTAATTCTTGCCTTTTGTACTCTAAGGGAGTGCGGGAGGCGCTCTTTATCGTAGGCGCACCTTTGGCGCACTAAGTGCGCAGGACAGGCGCGACCCTGTTTCTACTTGGCCTGTGCGTAGACTGCGCTACGCAGCCTGCGCTACTAGCACTGCTTCTAGTTTATAATGTACATTTAATATGCTATGCATATACTACGTACGGCTTGCGCGTAGCCTGCGCCGGTCCCCTTCCTAGGGCGGCGTTATAATATTGGCTGGCAGGCCTTCGCCTACTAGTCTCCTATAGTTCGTTAAGTTAAAGTCTTAATATAATAGTATAAACCGGTTAAGCCTTTGTAACTACGCATTGCACACTACCCTCTTACATATATGCAAAAGGTTTAATAATACCTAGTTTGCTAGAAAATCTAGCGTTTATAATATAATATTAATAATATAGTACTTTAAATTCTTTAGTAATAGCTTAGTAATATAATGCTACGTTATTTATTAACTCTTTTACTTTTACTAGCATAAAACTAAAAGTATAGTTAAATCTAATAGCTATAAAGACGTTTTAAGTAATATTAGCATTTTTATTATAATACTATTACTAGTAGTTTTAGTTAATATAGGCTATAATATAAGTACTATTAATAGCACTAATATATTTATTAAAACTTTACTAGTAATTATATAATTTAATACTAGTATTAAGCTAGTTATTTAAAGGCTATAATATAACGTTTTTATACAGCTAAATAAATAAGAAAAGAAGCTTTTAAACAACTTTACTAATAATGCTTTAGCTAACATAGAACCTATTAGCAGCATTATATTATACTTTATTATACACTAAAATCTAAATAAATATTAACACTTAATACGCTAAAAAAAAGTTGCTTAAAGTACTAAAGACTACAATGCTCCTTAAAACAACGTACTAGCAATTAAAACATAGTCTTTTTTATTTAAAAAAGTTGCTTAAATTTTTAGGTTAATATTGTTATAACGTTTAAAGCAATGCCCTAGCTACCTTTAAAAAAACGTTAACGTTAACGTTATTACTATTGATACTAATAATTCTTACTTTAGCACTTACTTTAATAATAAAAATAATACTTAAGAAAATAAATGCCTTAAATGCCTAGTATTTTGCCTATAAATAAGGCCTTTAGCTTTCTCATTATTATCTGCTATTTTGCTTGCTTTACTAATTAAAATAAAAACTTTACAACTTTAGGCATACCCCTTATATTACTAGCCTTATATACTAGCCTTAGTTTTTCTGCCGCTTGCTAATATGTGTTTTACTATAAAATACAAGCTAGATAGGTATGCGAAGTTATATAATAGATACCTTATTTTATAGCTGTCTTGGCGGGCTAAAATAGGTATAGCGCATAAGTGCGAGCATAGTATACTAGGGTTTTCACTGGCCTAGTCACAACTGAATCTAGGCCTTAAGGATAACTACATACCGTAGCTACTATAGGGAGCGACGCCGTTGGCGGCTGATGCATGATAGGTCTATTAGTCTAGTGGTCAGGACGTTGGATTTTGACTAATAATATCCTTATTCCAAAGACACCAGTTCGAACCTGGTATGGACCTAGCCTTTTTGCTTCTTAAATCAGATCTGCCTGTTACCATACTAGGCTCTGACTCGGCAACTTGTCGTTTCTATTAAGCTAAGTATATTTCATTTAATAAATTCGTGTACAGCTGCCGTATCCTACTGTCTGTCTATGTGCAATTAATAGCTGTCATTCTTCGTCCTCCCAGCTCACCCACGGAACTTCTTACTAGCCTCCGCGAAGGAAGCGCCGCCGCGCAGGGCCGTCGCAAGCTGCTCGTCCGCGGTTACCTGCTTCTTTATAAGCGACAACGCCTGGGCAGCAAGGCCGCGTGGCAGCACGACGACGCCGTTTAGGTCGGCGATGACGTAATCGCCAGGGTGAATAATGGCATTAGCTGTAGTGATAGCCCCGGCCTCTGCCTGGCCTTCCGGCTGCAGCTGCACCGCCACATCGATGCCGACAACCTTGGCCACCTCAGCCGGCGCTGTGGTGCCGACGTCGCGCGCAAATACGGGGAAACGCAGGTCACGGTGCTCCTGTAGGTCGCGCAGCCGCCCGTCGATGACGGCACCGGTACAGCCGCGATACTGCGCCCGCGTGGCCATCAGGCCGCCGAAGACGGCATTGGGCGTGCGCGGACTAGACACGAAAAGAACGGCACCCTCAGGCACCGCATCGATCTGGTATAGGTCAGCAGTGGCCGACTAGGGGGGTAGGACATGGCTATGTACATAATGAGTCGGATGCTTGGCGGCCGGGTCGCTCAGAAGCGCATACTTGACCGTGTAGGCCGGGCCGACGATCTTGGTGGCACCTGTCTGTCGCTCGGGCGAATACATGGTGATGCCGGCCAGAAAGCCGCCGTGGGGGACCTTAAGCTTTAGCAGCGCATCCGAGACGTCACAGCTAGAGAAGGCCCGTCAACCAAGTGGCGCATATGAAAACGGAAACTAGAACATGCTTACGTGCTAAACTCGCTGAGCGCTTCGACATTAGGATCCAATTGAGGTGCCATTGTGCGAAGTGGCTTATGGAGCGAGAAAGTGTCGCCGGCTAAACGGATTAGAACTGCGATCGGCTGGATGGATGCCACGGACGATGGGCGGAAAAGACCAACGACGTTATGGTGGCCACTGCGGGTCGGTTGTATCACAGGGTTGTATCACAGAATGACGTCGGTGCTAAAGAGCGAGGACAGGCTTAGTTAAAACTTTGCGTAAGACAAATGTCGTTGTAGGAAACTAGAACTAGAGAATCGCGGATTACAGGCAAAATTGATTTAATGCTAGGCGCTAGATCTTATAATAACAAGCTAATATTTGCTAATAACAATTTTTCGTTTTTATTAGGGAGTAATACAGAATAGACTATAGAAAATAGCTTTTGTTGTTAACTCTATACTAAGTCAACTAGGCCCCTTTTTAAGCACCGCCTTATTTTGCGCATTTTTTCAGCTTTAAATCTATATACTAAGAGCAAAGGTAGGGTATAGTCTCTGCTTAAACTAATAAAACACACACACCTTACGTAACTATGCACAAAAAGAGGTGCTATATAGCACCTCTCTTCGTTAAAAGGTAGGGTAGTATATAGCTAGTCTAAAGAGAAGGGAGGAAAGCTATATAGGCTTATCTTTAGATCCTAAAAAATAAATGTAAGATAAGCCTGCCTACACCTCTAGTCCAAAAATATAGAACCAGTAACCCCGCCAACGGGATTTTAAGGCATTAATACAAAAGGATACATTTACATTAACAGCACGTACTGCGTTTACAAGCCTTTCTAGGCCTTGAAAAATGTATTCATATTAAAGAGCAGGCATTTTTCTTTAATATGTAGTATACCAGCCGCGCGCCTTTTATACTGCGGCCAGCCGTTAGGGCAGCGAATTAATAAGCCTATTAATAAAGGCCTAGTTAATTTCCTACTAATAGTTACGAATTACCCGCTTAAAAACCTTTATATCTATTGCGTCTTTCTTTAATTCTTATATATTAAGGTATTTTTTAGCCAAAAGACGCTTTAATTTAGCCTAAACATATTTAATTAGGTTTAAATCTAGGCTGTAAGCAGGCTAGAAAGGCAGCATCTTAATCTGGTTATTTGCAAGCTATTACATTAATAATGCAGATATATATACCCTTGCATTATCTTGCTAGTAATACTAAAAACTATTGTAGAAAGGTAGAAGGCTCTTTATTAATGCTTTTTAGTAGCTTTATAAAGTATAGCCACCTTTTTTGCCTTAAGAGTAGTCTTTCTCTATTAAGATTAACTTTATATAGCCTTCTTTTTAAATCTTACCTTAAAACATTAATACAATTACAGGTTTTCTATATAATTAAACGTTTACTAAGTTCTTTCGCCATTTTTACGCAAATGTTCGAAAAATAAAACTAACGCTGCTATTAACTACGTTTTAGCAGCTGCTTTTATTAAAGAGAAGAGAGTCTAGCAAATTAGTATAAATTTTACTATATTTAGTAAAGCATATATAAAAAGCAAATCGTCTTTATCTTACAGCTAATTACGCGCAAATTCAAGCCTATCCTTTACTATATTCGCTAATAATAGTATTTTGTCCATAGCCTTCCATTTTTATATCCTATTCTTATAAAATGCGCGCCGTATGGTAGTATAGGACGGCCGACAAACTATCTGCTTTGCTAGCTCCTTATAGGTAGTTTTTAGGTGCCGCTTTGCTTGCTAAATAAGGTAACGTTTATCTCGACGGCTAAGCAACGCAGGCCTGCCGCGGCCAGGTCTATCCTTAAAGCTATATGTTTCTGTAAACCGATTAATCGTCTTAGTAACTATACTGCGCGTAACGCTAAAAGCCTTTGCAATAGCGCCTTGTGACTAGCCGGCGTATACAGCACTACAGATAGCAGCGCGCGCAGCGAAACTTAGCTAGCCTGCAGCCTTCCTTTCGGCCGTTAGAATAGCATCAAAGTTAGCTAATTTAGACATCTTTTCGTTGATTTGTGGTGATTCTAAGTAAGGGTAGGTGTTAGGAGTTACATAAGAAATGCGAAAAATCGCGGAGGTGGTTCTATATTTTTGGAACCCTACTATAGCAAGGTCTTAAGCATAGTCTTTTACTTTATAAGTATACTATATATATATATCTTTTATAATTAATTAATTCCGTGTATATATATATATTTATTATTCTTTTAAGAAAAGAAAAAAAAAAGAGTTATTATATATATAAAGTGTATAAATAGTTATTAAGAGTATACTTAAGTAGCCTTAGTAAGTTAAGCATATAAAAAGATATCTCTTAATAAGAGTATTCTACACACGCGTCCTTACGTACTAGTTTAGCAACTAGTCGCTTACTAAGAATTAAACTTAACAAACTATCTTAACACGTTATATAAGACTAGTATAGCCACTTAGCTATGCTACGCCCTACTAAGGTTGCACTATACTACATCTTTTAGTTATATCTAAATTAGCTAGCAAGCTATTACTTACTAGTCTACTATAGTTTGTTAAGTTAAAGTCTTAATATAATAGTATAAATACGTCTAAGCTTTTATAACTATATATTATATACTAACTCTTATATTCTTTAACTTCTTTTTTATAAAGAGTAATGTTTAATTATAAGGCAGCTACTTTATAATTATAATAAGTATTACTTAAGGCATACAATTTATAGAAAGATAATAGGCAAGATAAAAGGTATAAAGAGGGTAAAAGTAAAACTTTATCTTACTTCTTTTAAATTCGTTACTAGAAGCGCTTAATAAAATATATATATACTATAATAGCGGTCTAGCGTAGCAGAACGCTTTAAGGCGCTCGGCAAAGCTTACTAAGCGTTATTTCGCTTATTTGCTGTCGGTCGCCGAATCCGGCTTAGCGCCCTTAGTAGGGCTCGGCGATACTTTTTCCTACTACTAGGCAAGACTTGCTAAACGCCCTACTTTAGCCTTACTAAGCCTTGCGCGGCCTGCACATACTTTATTCTACAAGCCTGCTTAAATTATTACTAATCTATGCTAGCATTCTGCACTTTAGTTATTTCTTTTATAATAATTTATACGTAAACTATTAAAAGTAAAGAATATACTAATACTACTTTTTATACTAATATATAGTAGCTATACCTTATATATAACGTTTATAGGCACTTTAACCTTATTTATTAAATTAAATATAAAACTAGTATATATACTACTTAATAATACCTTACTAGCTAATAAGTAGCTATAAAGTAATAAATATACTTGTATTATATAAACGTTAAAGGCATTAACTAATATTATAGCTATAAAGGCTATAAAGCTATTACTTAGTAATTACTATTATAATAATAAGCTACTATAATATAGTATTAAAAAGTTAGAAATTAGTATTACTACTACTAAGATAAAGAAATAGTTAATAATAATAAAGAATGCTTATAATACTAATATATATAGTAATATATTAAAAAATATAAAGATTATTTAAGTAAATAGTTAGCTAACTACTAAGCTAATAGCTAATTATTAAAAGCATTATAACTACTTTTATACTAGTAAGCCTTTAGTTATACCCTTTATATAAATATACTTTATTATATTTATTTATTAAAAATACTTAAACCTTAAATTTTAAATATATTATAAAGAAAGCTAAATGCTTAAGTAAGGTAATAAGTTACTAATAGTATACTAGTAAAAGTAAGATTATTTATAATAAAAATTAATAATATTATTAACTAAGTAAGTAAGATTACCTAAAGGTATTAATAAAGGCTAAATAACTACTTAGTAAAGTAGTACTAAAATAAAACTATTAGCAAATTGTTAAAGGTATACTTAGGTTGGCTAGGTAAGTTAAGCAAGCAAGAAGGTATCTTCTTAATAAAAGAAAGCAGCCGTATATTTAATAGCTAATTCTTACCTTCTACACTCTAAGAGAGTATAGAAGGCACTCTTTATCGTAGGCGCACCTCTAGCGCACTAAGTGCGCCGGACAAGCGCAACCCTGTTTCTACTTAGCCTATACGCTAGCACGTGCTATAGCTTATGCGTAGACTGCGCTACGCAGCCTGCGCTATAAGCACCGCTTCTAGTTTATAATGTGCATCTAATACGCTATGCGCATACTACGTATAGCTTGCGCGTAGCCTGCGTTAGTCCCCTTCCTAGGGCGGCGTTACAATTGCTCCTCTTTTATGCCTAACTCCCTTAAGGCAGGTTTTAATAAAAGGCTTGCAGCCTTTATTCTTAGTAGTAGTAGTGCTTATCCGTTTGCGGCGGCCTTTTTATACTTGCTAAGATTGCTATTAAAGGCAACTTAAGGCGCCTTTAGTTCTTTTTATTTAGGAGGTTAGTTTTATAGTTAAATTAAATTATTATAAAGTCTAGCATTTAGTTACTTCTTCTAGAAACAATAAATTCGTCTTCTAGCAGCAACATAGCTGCTTTTAATTCTAACGTTCCTATGCCTGCAGTAAGCGCCTCTAGCGCTCTAGTACCCGCTACGGCCCCGGCCCTTACTCTCCGACACCCTTTGCCCTCTAGCTAAGGTGCTAGTTCTAGCCGCGCGCAACGTGCGCGCAAGGCTTACGCTAGCCTAGTTCGTTGTTCTGCGCAGACTGCGGCGCGCGCCATGCCCTTAGTTAGGCCTTTAGTAGCCTGTTAAGGTGTAGGAGCTGCCCTTGCTAGTCTAGCGCTCTTAGGGTTAGTGGCGGCTGCGCTACTAGCTTACCCTTAGGTTGCCTTAGACGGCTTGTTGTGCGTGCGGTGCCTACACTGCTTTCCAACGACTCTCTTTACGGAGTTGCCTAGGTTTGCGGCCGTGCTATGTATTTACAGCGTTGCTAGCGCTAGGCGCTACAATGGCTGCCGTGCTAGCAAGCACGAATGTTGCGGGGTAAGTCCTCTTTAGTGGCTATAGGCAGCTTTAGTAGCTAATAGGATGCAGGTTTTCTTGCTAATAGTTAGCAACTAGGCCGACTTTAAGATAGTGCTACGCGGCCTTAATAAGAAGCTTTATAGCTAAGGTTTGCTTATA